TGCCTGTAATTCCAGCTACTCGGAAGGCTGAGGTGGAAGGATTGCCGGAGCTCAGCAGGTTGAGGCTGCGGTGGCTGAAAGCGGCCACTGCACTCCAGTCTGGGCGACAGTGAGACTCCAACTCAAAAACAAACAAACAAACAAACAAAAACAACAAAAAAACTTTCTTCTTGAAGTTCTGTCTCCTTTTAGTTTTAGCTATTTTGAGGCTATGCTATTAAATACATACAAATTTAGAATTCTTTTATGTTATTCAGAAACTGAATATCTTATCACTATAAATTAAGCACATCTCTAGTAATTCTTTATTTTTAAAAATCTATTTTGTCTAATATTATAGCTACATTGGCATTCATTTAGTTAGTATTTGCATGTGATATTTTTCCATGTTTTTATTCTTATACATTCAGTACTCTAATATTTTATAATCTTCTAATTTTAAAAGTATGTGCTTATGTTCTGTTTTTTAAGAGTCTCACAATCTTTTTATTTTATCCTAAGCACTCAGCATTTTATTTATTTACACTTTCTGTAACTACTTATTTTGTACTCTTATTTTATTTCGTTTTGTACTAAATTTATTGTACCTTCTAACTTTATACTATTTATTTTCAGTTCTTTTTTATTGCCTTCATTTAGACTGATGGACTACATTATTATACTGATCATTTTCTGGCAACTCATTAGGAATTTACCTACTCTGTTTCTGTCATTTTGATTGTTCTAAAGATTACATCAGGCATACTTATGTTATTAAAAAATATCAATTAACACCCTTACCATGCTTCTGAATGAAACAATAATCTAAGGACAATATGTTCCTTTTATTCTCCTCCTAAAATGTGCTACTGAGTTGTAAATTTCAACCATCCTCTATTTTAAAGAAAAGTTTATTGTACGTAGAGTACTTTAAAAATATCCAGATTTTTGCTAACTTATTTATTCTTCATTCTTTCTCTCATCTGTGGTCATTTTCTTTGTGTATCATTTAGGACTCTCTATCACATCTTTAGTGAACCATCTGATCATGATTTTTTTTTGAGATAAGAAAATATAGTTTATTTAGAAAGTAAATTAGAGTAAGAGAAAGAGGATCTTCACCTTCCCAAGGTAGGGGAGGAGGCAAAGCCAGGAACCATGTCCTGGTCATAGCTCAAAGAGCACATGGTCATACAATACACATAGCCAGCAATGGCCTGGCAATGGTCCATGATTTTCTTTAAAAATTTATTTTAGCTTATGGGACTGTGAAATAAAAAACTCTTAATGCTTTGACCAAAGACTGAAGTTCTCCATAAGATACCATAGTCACTCAATAGTGTTATGTTTCCTTGAGGAGATATAAGCCTTAGTAACTAATAATCTCAAGATAATAATCCATGATTGGTGATATGGGAAAGTAAATATGTCCCAAAGAATGCATGGGTATGTCATTTAAAAATAATGCTCAGAATTTCTAGTTGTTTCCGTTGGAAGAGTTTTGCAGAACATGTCTGTGATAGTCAATCAAGTGGAAATAGAGATTTAAAACTGAGAATATAATCAAATGTGGTTATTTTAAGGGCCAGAGTATTGGAAGAGTTTGCTATCAAGAGATAGGTAAAACAAATGCCTTCTATCCCTCAAAATTCAACAATTTAATAATATGAGTGGAAACATGGTATAGTGAGGCAAAAAACACAAGGGGGCAAGGCAATGGAGAGGACTAGTTTAAGTGACAGTCCAAGCTGGACCAGGAAGAAAATCCATTCAAAAAAAAAATAGGGAATGACAATTAACAGATCGAATCTCTAAGAAAACTTGAAATTTTGAAAACCAAGTACAAAATAAGTGCATAAGAATAAGGGAGTATGAAAGCCAGAATGTGGCAGTCAATGAAAAGTATTCTGCTGACATTCAGTATTTCAGAGATAGAGAAGTTTAGAGTGGTTACAAAATTAAAGACATGGACATTGGAATGAAATATTGAAGTAGAGTGAAGATTGATGATACTGAAGTTAAATGCAAATAAGTGAATATTCATTTGTTCTCAAGTTATACTTGCATTTACCTAATAAAACTAAAATGGTTGCAGCTGTTTATTTTTCTTCTTATAATTTGCCTTTAAGTGGCAAATGTTATACATGTAATTATTATACCTAATAGGAAAATATCCTAATAAATATATTTACTTTTTAATGAATGATTTTCCTGTGTGAATACATTGAATGTATCTGACCTAACAAATTACTTCAAACAACAGGCTATTTTTATGCCCTCTTTATATATGAATGTCATTCGTCCACACACCTGAAAGATTCAACCCATTTAGTTATCAATGGCCTATAAGAAAACATAATAGTGTTGGGTTAAAATTCTTCAAACACAGTATGTTTTCATAAAGTTAATAGAGTCTGAGTTGGAAAACATCCCTAAATGAAGTGCTATTTTAAAGGCTTTTATTTAAAAGACTGCCCAAACCACTTAGATTCCTCACAAAAGTTAAAGAATGTGAAACTGAGCGCACTAATTATAGTACACTCAAAGTGCCGATGAAAAATTTCTCCTCATATGAGGTTCACTAAGCATACTGGCCATTAATAAGCTCAACATTTCTTTCTTTGGAATACCAACTGAGAAGGATAGACCTAATGCAGGTATGACTAAAT